TTCACTTTCATGCATTTACATGCCATGCAAAATAGATATGACAGATGCCCCCCTCAACTACACTAGCACCACCAGGCGGGAGCAACACTGGTGACAAAGACAAATATCTCAAAATTCATAGTATTAGAATATAAAATTAAGATTCTTCAGTAAAATGTTCATCCATTTCCAATTTGTATTGCAGCCGTCTGGAGTTTTGTATGATGCAGAAAATGTTAGCATAAATACAACTTTCCGAGAAACCAATATTCATTTTTTTATAAACATATCGTGTTCGTTCACATGCTAATGTAAGCAATGACAGTCTCCAACAGCAATTTGAGTTCATGATTTGAATAATGAAAACAAATTCATCATTATCAAGAATATTTGATTTAATCACGGCCGGTTTAAATAAGGATTTTTCCCGACTTCCTGTTGGTCACTGTACATTACAATAAAAGTTGTATATTGGAAAATTAGTTGAATAGTTCAAATTCAGGCATGCACAAATCTGCTATGTTACATAAGCAGTTGAAAACTTTGTTACATATTCTGTTAAAAAGCTGGTATTATTTCAAAATATCAATATATCATGTTCAAGGATGACAGACCAAACCACCGGAAATTAAAAAAATCATCAATAGTAGTTGATAGCCAACACAATAAGGTTAGGTACCATAGTTCTTGAAATACACCAAGTTGTTATTATCTATCATGAACGTCACTTGCTTATCGATAATGTTTTATTAAGTGACTTGGTGTATTTCCAGGGCTTTAGTACTTTTTATATTCAATATAGAAAATATATACTGGGGAGAGGTGTTTCGTTTCTATCAGGAAAGAAGAATTATAAGCACAAGGTTTCTATAAATGAAACTATTTCTATGGCCACTAGGATATTTTGATACAGTCATTTGAAGAAACCCTGTATATCCCAAGGTAGAAATGAAACTCACAGATGTTTATTTACAACCATTTCAATTCGTGAACAAGTTTAAATATTTTATTGAGTTTTACCAATATAATATTATACGGTAGATTCAAAGTTTGATGAAAGTATTGAAAGTTATTATCATTATGGGTTGCTCGTTTTCCATATTTATTTTCCAAACATGAAGAACCTTTCCAAATTTTAAATAGTTAGTTACTTGACTAAAAACGCACTGAATATCTCTTAATTGAGGATTATCATGTGAATGTCGTGTCAAACGAAATCCACCCAAGAATTAAAATCGATAAACGACAGCATTTTTTATGATTACTCTGTTATACTGTGTATTTATTTTTCTATTCCAAAGTTTCGTTGATTTTGATCAATGCAAAACGGTTAAATTTTAGCGTGACGTCAAATTATAGCGCCAAACTAATAAGTAAACCTTTTTTTCTTTAGAATATAACAGAACGATGTCCATTTTGGATTATTATCGAAATAAGAAGCGACAGTTTTTCCGAAATTGTATTTTGTATTTGCAGGTGATAATTTTCTGGAGTGCATTCAATGCGCTATTTTTCAAGGGATCATCAAATTCCATATGAATTGCTGAATGAACAATTTGAACAACTGTACACCATACATCTCAATGAAGCAATGCCATATAATTATTTCAATGTTTTCAACTTTTTGTAAATAAAAAATTGTGGTAGTATGGATACCTTTGAAGCAGATGACTAATAGAAACACATTGTAATCATTATTAAACATTCAAATGTATGTATTATAGCATGCTGAATTTAGGAACACCATAAGGATAAAAATGTTTAGATCAAATCAACAGCTAGTATTAAATAGAGTACCATGATGGATTTTTTTATATTTGGGTAAGTACAGTAGACAAGCAGTGATTTTGAAGCAGATCATAGGTTTTGCCATACAAAGACACGAATAATCTTATCACATAGATAATTGTTTTTGATATCATCTTTACTTTATACGTTCAGGGAAATTCACAACCCCAAATATTTTTCTCAGACTTCATTTGTGCAAAGTGACTCATTTACTGGGATAACCATAAATTATATGACGAGAGCGAAAAAGTATACGATAGAAATACATAGATCAGGAATGGAGAAACATTCACATGGAAAGTATTTGCTTGCAATGAAACTTACTTTTCAAGGTAAGCAGGGTAAATGAAGGATAGCTAATATGCATAGTATAGTTATGAACAACTGATTAACGGAAAAATGCTCATAATTAATTCATGATACTGAAATATCATTACAGTTACATCCAATCAAAATTTGGATGCAAACCTCGTATAAAGTTGCGAAATCTGCGAATTTATTTAATGAAAAGTTCAAACAAGCATCTATTATTCTTATGTGCTGTTAGTTATCGTTTTTTTTTTTCATTTATTTTGCTTGTCAGTGTGCCTACCTACTCCATATAAAATAAAAACGACAAAAACGTCAAATCCACATAGGTACTCTAGTGTAATAGAATGGCAACTATTCAACATGCTGTAAATACAGAACTCAAAGACCTAGAAGGCTAATGCAAGTCTGAGAAATCGCTGAAATCCGATACCACCAGTGTGCTTAAGGAAGTAGTGATCATGCGCATATTGTCAGTTGTACATGTGTATACGCAAACCTCACATTCATGCATCAGGATGTAGTTCATATTTCTTATTGAACTTTTTGAAACTGTTGATCAACAGCTTTACGAAAATCATATAGGAAATTTTCAAGACAAAATTTATAGACTCACTGAATGATAACTGAGTGAGTAATTGAATGGCTAACAAGAAATCCGTGAATTATTATGCATTTTGAATTGGCTCGGCCGTTACTTGATAGAAATCCATGGCAAATGTAAAAACTTCACAAACGATAAGATTTCCACAAACTTCTCAAACACACGACATGTTTCGGTACCAGTATAAGTTTTTACATTTAATTATTATGAAGTTCTAATTTCCTAAAGGTTCATCTGGCAACTGTGTAAGAATGTGCATTTGTCTGACGTAGAATTAAGGCAGAGCCGGATTAGTTTCGGTTATTCGATGTTTTGTTTTGCATAACATGTCTATCGTTAGTGAATTAGAGATTATTGAAGAGTTTTAGTGGTTTTATTAGATTATAATACAGTTTGGGTGGTTTATTGTAGTCATAATGACAGTTATATCGTGTTTCTTAGTTTGATTCGACATTCATTGACTCATTTGTGTACTGGGTAGTGTTTTCAAAATGACCCATTGCATGGCGTCTATCATTTTGTGCTATTATATATTTTTCGCTGTTTGATTCTATTAACAAAACTAAAATATCTGCCAAGAGTGTCATTCTTTCTGAATTGAACAGGAAATTTGGGAAAATATCTCAATTCTGACAAATATTCAGTGGTTAAGTAAACAGGACGAGAAACTGCGCATGATCACATTTGCCTTTCGAGCTACGTTAGGAAACACTCGAATATAATATAGGCCTTCTAGCACTATTTAATCAATACTCTTAAAATTTACTATTATATCATCAACAAAAGGCTTTAATCAAATTTCATATTGATTAGGAATTTCCAAATTCATGGTCATCACACTAGACAATATAACTTGTTTCATCTTGAAGCTGCAAATTCTAAACTTGGCCAAGAAAAGTTTACACATGAGGCAATTTCGAAATTCAATAAATTATAGTCTGGCTCGTAAAAGATGACCGGAGGTAAGAATGTGAGCCCAGAGCACAATATAAATGTTGCGATCATCAACTCACTGGCAATTTAAAAACGGAATTCCAAGCGCTCGCTAGAAATGGTGGTATCAGTTCAAACGTGCAGTCAGTCATATCGTTCGTGACTTGATGAATGCGACTGCATCTTCAAAACCGAATTGTTTAGATACTCTCTATGCTCAGCGTACTGAACTTCCTTTTCTCTTTTCGCTGTTTTGTTTTTCTTCCTTCTTGTTCACTATATAAGTACTGTTATTTTGAAATATCTTAATGATATGTAAGTTTTGTTCACTATTTGTAATTTCAAATGAATGATCTTATAACAGGAATTACTGTCTGATCATTCATGTCATTCCTACTAGAAAATTAATTAAACTTTATAAATCATTTGTATAAAATGTATTAGTGATGAAAAATGTAATGCAATAACTGAAATAAATAAATAGGTCTTCGAGTTCTGTGGCTGTAAATGCATCACTTACGTCACTGTAATATAAAATGATAAAGCTGTTTTGCTGTTGTATTGACCATATTTCACTTGGGTAGAGTAAGACATTTCGTGCTATTTGTTGGCAGCAATTACTGTCAAATTGAGTGTCATTTGCCGTATCATTATTGTCTTTTGTCATTATCAATTATAATTATTTTGAAAAACAAAGTGTCCAAAAATGTGTCCTTGCACTTATTTTCGATAATTAACTATACAGTGGCGCCACTTTCATTCACATATGAAATATTCCTTCGTAACCAACCTCACATTATGAAATATGGTTAATTAAAATACAGGATCGCACCATTTATTCAATAGAGCAGTGTCAACTGACGTCACAACATGACGCACTCGTCATTTTCATCAGCTGATCGGGGGACAGACAAGGCTGTATGTGAATTTTGATTTTATTATTTCTCACTCATTGGTGATTTTGTTGAACTTGATAGATATTATAAGAGAATAAAGTGTACATGTTGTCGCAAACTGTGTATCTATTGAGGCATATCACGAGGTATATTAAGTATATTACAGCTGAATCCAGTGATTTTAAATTGACAAATGAGCCAACTTGAAGTCTCCATTGGACTCATTCAATTTTCTAACACTATTCATGATAATGAATTAACAAACATGCTTATGAATAAAAGCTCCAGGTATTGTATTATAGTGAGAAATGTGCAAGAAAATTATATGAACCCTTATGGAAAATGTTTATGCTTGTCTCCCCATCAGCTGTTCAATGGCCGACAATTATACGTCAAATGATCACTGACAGCGCTCTATTGATAGTGATTAGTGAAAGCTATGATTATTACAAACTGAGAAAACATGACAGCCATGCAATTTCCCAACTCACCATTGCATTCCTGGCGGTTGCGAGAGATTTCGCAGCCTCTTTCTCTTGCGGCGTCAACCTATGCCTGTTCGGTTGTTTCTCTCCGGATGGCAGTGCGAAATTTGCCGTAGCAGTTTCGACATTGTTTTCAGATGGTATCGGGCGGGTTCCTAATGCCATACCGCAAATGGCGGTCATGTGAGTTTCCGGTCCGAACACGTACAGAGGGATTCCTGTAATGAAATCGGAAATCACATAGCAAGAGATGCAAAACGGATATTACCCACAAAGTGCGAATTTGCATCATAACTCGGGTTGTGTATTATACTTTTAACCACGATTATCTATTTGGTTTTTCAATAAGATCTTTACTTTTCGTATTGTTACAAAAATGGATTTTAAAAATTATTTATGGAAAAGATTATTTGTTTCCAACTGAACTTTTATATAACTCTATGTATACAATTTACTGATTTATATTTTCAAAAATAAAAAGGACATTCAGTTCAGAGAACATATCTATGACATTAGAAATAAAAATAACATAACATTGAAATATAAAATCAAGTCAAGTCAATTGGACGTATAAATTATAAATTTTTAATTCCTTACCTATATAATAAAATTCCAAATGATATTATAAAAACAAAATCACTACAATCCTATACAATAAAAATAAAAAACTGGATATTAAACTCCCCTAAACATTATTTTATCTCTTTAATTAACATTCAATAATATCATTAGAAAAATCTAAATAATTATTGTGAATAAGTATGTATGAATATAAATAATTATGCGTATTGAATGAAATGTTCAGTACACTATACCGGGTGGCTACGGAAGTATTGCCTACGGAATATCTCAGTTATTGTATGAAGTAGGTTTGTGAAATTTGGAGCGTCGATATAATGACATAAGAGCTAGAATTTGAGCATATTGACATGTCGAAGTTAATTTCCGGTCTGACCGGAAGTAACATCAACTTTCTTATTTCAAATGGAAACCCTATTTTTTTTCTTTTCGCTTCATTCAGCATTCAATTCCCTTTCTAATGACATATCACAAGTTGGTATCTAACCAGAAACTAGATCAGAAAAAAATTATTATTGAAATTCACCGAGTAGGCCGTGGCAGCAAAATGAAAGCCGGTATATTATGAATTAAATACTTGTCTCATTTCTTAATGAGACAATTTTTTCCTTGTGATAATTTAACATTGTTAAATATTTATTGACCTATGTACATTTGTTTTTTTTTCAATCCTTACTACAAGGTTAACTTCGTAAGGTTTTTCCCAGTTTATTCAAAATACCTATATGTATATTCCAATGTATATTTTGTAAACGTGTTTGAATAAACTTATATTATTATTATTATTATGATAAATTGATCAATTAATATCAGCGCTTTATAGCTGGTGCACATCAAATTGAAGAAAATGTGATTATCATGAATATAAAATATTTTTTGTGAGCTGCATTTCCAGGATTTTCGTTATTTGACGTTTACTACAAAACACTAAGAGATAAACTCCTTGAAATCCGAAAACAACGTTTCTAATTTCTTACATAGCTCAAATGAGTGAGGAATGAAATTGAATCATAACACTAATACAAAACTCGCTTTCCTAAAGACCTCAACGATTCCAACAAGAAAATGCTTTTGAAATATGATTGAAGTAATGGGCGTGTACACCTTGGTAAAACTTTCAAGCCAAACCATGTTATAATGATCCTTTTATACATAAATAATGATTGACGACATAATTCGATCGAAAAATTAACTGGAATGTTTTATTTTTGGACATAAATGATAGTACCTTCTGAAAACGGACCCTCTTATGACGTAGAAACCTCACTCGCCATAGTTTAAAGAAAATACCAAACGCCCGACGGAGACTGAGGCAACTGATATATTAATCCTTTCAACTGTGATCTCGCGCTAATTCACTCTGTCAGAAATCATGTATCACTCATCTCTGTCTGGAATAGCCTTGATTCAGTATTAGGGTTTTGACGTCACATCATCGCCTCGTTTTCAGAGGTCCGAAAAATCAGGGATTTCAATAATTTTTCATAAAACATAGGGAGCTCACTGCAAGAAACGGTTTGCGGTAGTTTGGGTGAGTTCTATGGAATTATGAAATAATTTTTTTTTGTGATATAAGCCCATTAGTAGGAACAATTTTGAAACAATTTTAGAACAATAAATAAAGGTACAGAAGACATTTTCCTATGCCATGGAAATTAAGTAAGAGAAGAGAGAAGAGTCTTCTTTACTGTAGTTTATACCCAATTTTTTCGACAACTAGCATATATTTTCCTTATATAATGTTTTTTTTGCATTTGAAACATGTTTGTGTATAGTTAGTAGTTATATTATCTCCTTCTAAAATAATTCCTCAGAACTTAACTGAAAAAAAAAAAAAAATCTGTAGAACTTAAATAAATTATAAATTGCACTATTTATAACCTCTCCTTGACGTGATGAACCGACTGGATCAATGACATAAAAAATGCAATTTCATCACGTTCAGTTTCACTTTGATCAGTTAATTCAGAGTTCAGAAGGAAATAATATCTCTTAAATGTGATTGCAAGTCGTTGAGAGATATAAGATGAGTGAAATTTCAAATTAGAATCAAATTCAGAGCATTTCAGAGAAAAAAATCATTTGTTCTTGTTATAATTTTACTACAAATAAAAAAGCACGTGTTTTCAATGTCAATTCTGACACCCTTGAGCATCACACCAGACAATGTGATCATATAAAAAGAAAAATTGTCAAAATGAAAACCAAATGCCACACAATGGGGAAGTTTCCTATAATGAGGTTTTTATCTAACTGTGATGTTTGTAAAAAATTAATATATGCATATTTTTTTCTTTTTTTCGTAAGATGAAATTTCACTTCAGAAAAAAATGAATAAAAGAGGAACTTGGCTCCTCCACCATTCCTATGACGTATTTTCTGAAAATCCACATTCACACAGAGTTAAAATACGATTGCCTGTGTCAGTACGACGTTGCCGACATTATCATTATGTCTAGATTTCCGGAAATTGTTCTTTGAATGCATAATAACTATATCATAACAGCAATGGGATGTAATAGGTTCTTCAATCCTGCTTTGTCAAGTATTATGAATAATTCCCATAAATCTCTCATTGGCTGAATGAAGTTGATTACTAATAAAGATATATTGAGATATTTTGCGATAGTACCTATAATTTTTCACTATCGTTATATTACAATATGTTATTCATAACTTGTCAGTCATTTTTTTGCTAATGAATTCGTTCCTTAATAAAACGGATCTGTTTTCTAGGATTGTTGCAGATTATATCTTGCAACAGCGCATAATGGGTGCCGGCTTCATACTGTTCTGACCGATGGCAGTAAATTAGGAAGGATAGTATCATTGAATGTAGGCGATAGTGATTCATTGATTCAATGACATTTCTGTTTAGGATCGAGCTCTATTCGAGATATTTCAATGCATAAATAACAAAACCATATCTTGTCAGAATGGAGCCAACTACCCTCTGCATTCCTGCTCCGAGTGCATTTGTAGTTATGTATGTTTTTTTTTACCCATTTTACTTCTTCTTCTATTTTTTTCATTCGTTTTTCATTCGATACCTATTCGCTAGCTATATTCTTCACCATCAGCTATTTTCAGACTAGATTCAGAATGTACGTCACAGTTTGCCGCCCCGAAAATTAGAAATTGCTTTAATTTGAAAATGAAAACGACCTGGACTTTATCGTTCGCCATTCCGTACAGCGTGGACATAAAACTGGAGAGTTCCGAACTTATTTTATGAAAATTCATCTGAAGGAAACTTCCCCATTGTTTATTTGAATAATTTCGGCCAAGAAACCATTTACACAAATTTGATTGAATTATAATAATTTTTTGGCATAACTTATAAACGGTAGAAGCCACCAAATTAAAAATTCCTGCATAAATGTATGTTGATGAAATACAGTTTTTTGATACACTTCTACATTTCTGCTATAGTTATAAATGGTGTTTCAATGGCTTCGATGATCCCCTGGTAGAAAGATGCTATCGCTGTCATTGTAGAGTATTCCGCGCGAAAGCCATGTTGATTTTAATTAATAATTTTGTACTCATCTAAAAAGTTCGTAAGCTGACCAATCATGGAATATTCAATTATTTTAGATATTACCGAGGGTACGGATAGTGGTCTGTATGATCGAATGCAAACTCCGATACCTTTGCAAAGTTGGGCCAAGAGTATCTTGTAAACCGCTGTTCGGTCAAATGAAAATCCTCACCCTTCCGTCGTTATTTATTCTCGAAACAGTGTGTCTAGTACATAAAAACAAATCATCATACGAGGTAACAGTTGGTATCACTAGACAAAGTAACAATTTGCGATTACCTATTCCGTCTTCAAATTTAACGAAAAACTCTCTGATCTATAGTGCGATTAAACTATATAATCACCTCCCTCCCGCCTTCAAAAACATAGTTTTGCCGTCTCATTTCAGGAGATCTGTCAAGCGCTTATTTATCGATGAGGTTTTTTATAATGTTCAAGAGTTTCTTGAGAAAGATTGGAATAGTTAAAATATATGTCTATTTTAATTGGAATTGTATTCTAATGCTCAATTCATTTTGTATCTGTCTGTTCTCTTTTATTTTTTTTGTGTTTACGTAAATATGTATTTATTATAATTGTGACAATGCTATAGTACCTGCTCTATACTATTTATTTATATAAACTTATTTAATTATTTATTTTATATTCATCATGACTTCATCAATGAGATGAAAATCTTCCGATAATAAAGTATATTTTGATTTGATTTGAAACTCACCCAAGGTCTGCCCCACTTCTCTCATCCGCCGCAGACCCTCCTGGTAGTTGGGCCCGGCCCTGCGCACGAAGATCGATATCTTGTGCTCGATCAGCCGCTCCCTGTACTCGACCAGCGCCGTGATGATGCCCCTGAAGGTGGCGGCGACGTTCGTGAAGTTCGCGATGCCGCCGCCGGTGATCAGCACTTTGCCGCGGGGGTGCTTCTCTTGCGTCATCAGCGACAGGATCGTCTTGGCGTATTCGTAGGTTTGTTGTTCGGTCGGTGCACCTATCGACAAACAGGACACATCATAGTCCATTCTAAAAAACAATCTTGATTTCGACTTGTTTACTCTAAATTTGACTAAAACAAAATTCATGACTTATTCCTGTTTTGATGATTCACAACCACAATATACAAGTTTTTATAATCAAAAAAGTTTTGAGAGATGTAGAAAGTAACACATCCAGAAACAATTTCACAACTATCCCAAAAAAAGACCAAAAAAATGGGAACTAAATTCATGCGACTCACGTGGAAGTACCTGCGATAAAGAAACGTTGGAAATGTTTTTAAACAACGTGTTGAAATCTAAACTGAAAATTATATCACCAATTTTATCATGATCTTGAGTTTTAGCTATTTTTTCTACTCACATAACTAAAATGGCATTTAGCGTACGGATATGTACCACGCTAAATGATCGATTGATCACGGATTGACGATCTGTGATTTATTCAAATTATTAAACACGTTACCATGGTAACAGGATTTCTTAAACACATTACCATGGCAACACAGTTCATTAAACACAGCTTCAGTAATTTGAGACATATCTGGTCTGTCAATTGTATATCAACTGTCAACTGTTATTTTCAAATTTTGTATCAGAATTATTCAAACAATATTCTTTTGTACCAGAATTCTTCATTGAAAATATATGTGAAATGTAGGCGAAAGTGTAATCGAAGAGAATGTTCTGGTACTTGCATATCTCCAAGAAGTGTTAAAATGAAGCATCCATCTTTGAGAACAATTTATTTATTCTGCGCTAAACATGACGATAAACGTGAAACAAAGGTTGGGAAGCAATGGACTGGACATATCTACAACCAATATCACTTATACGTGTCTCGCTGGTTGCATGCAGTTGCATGTATTATGTTCTCAATTACCATTCCTTTCGAATTATTTAGTAGGTTAGCAGGAAAAGCAGGCATGTCAATGTAATTTTTGGAGTTGTAGTAAAAGCTCCGCTCGTGCTTAAAATACTCGTTATTTAAAGGACGTTTATAACACTTGTTACATAATATACTATTGCCAACTGGTGTATTAATAGCCCCATCAATATATGAGTTGTATAAATAAATAACTCAGGAGACAGCATTGGAAAGCATAGGGAAGCGTTGTCCTTCGCTATTACACTTGCCTAATATTATGACGTATGACGTGAAGTAAAGTTTGGAGATTTCTTTACGAGAAGATGACAAAATCATTGGGGAAGATCACGAGCTCAAAGTGGAATTCAATGATTAGAATGACCATGATTTTGAATTAGACGCCATATATTCATTTCGTCAATCCAAACATTTCTTCAGAGGCAGTCCCACCTACTACCTTCTTATTTGGAGTGTAGTATTGTCAATATTTTCGAAATAGGTTTCCTGAATTCCAAAATGCCAGTTAGGGCATATAAAAAACAGATGAATTGTCACAGTAATAATGTAAAAATAAATTATTATTTTATCCATTTTTTTAACCATTATTATTATCGCCGTGGCCGAGTTTGTCTGTGCCGAAATTCGCTAGATAGCCGTTTACGATGCGAAGGTACTGTCGGTTTGAATCCGGCTATCGGCTGAGCATTTTTCTTTAAAATGTGTGATTCATGGTTGTAATCCTGGCAGCACCTCGATGCCCTAGAAGTGGTTCACATTCCACTATAAGCTATAGATCCCGCTCTTCCTAACCCCGCACAAGTTTTGACTTCTGGGGAGTTGGTTCCCAACTTTGAAGTAGCGATATACAAATACAAATTATTATATTCCAGATATGAAATGATTATTGATTTTCATTAAATAAGGAAAAATTATGGATATAAAAAAAACTTCAAAGGATCAACTGGTCATAAATCTAGTTACCTGAATATTCTCCATAATTGGCCAGTTCGCTTGCTCCTCCCAAGTCGCAGATTGTGTCACTGTAGATTACTGAGGCTCCACCACCTGCAACCATAGTCCAAATCCTACCGGATTTGTTGAGAATAGTGAGTTTCAGACTTGCCCCAGATTTGGAATCCAGGTCGGCAATGTAAGCCTCCTCTGCAAATGAAAAACAAATATTTGAAATAACTACACCAGAAGAAATATTACAGGGTTGTCAAAAAAAAGGGGAATTTCATTTTTGAATTGCAACTTTTTTATTTATTTCCCGATTTTATCGACTTCGATCTAGTTCCGGAGAAAATTGTTTGAAACAGACCTTTCAGGTCATATTTTTAATATTTGTTTAAAACAAAATGGAACCTTTGAACCTCGTTGGAACTTTTTAGAGTTGCTCTGTATTTTGTTCCTATAAGTCAACTCTACACTTCTAATGTGGATATGACTGAGCTATCCTTCTTCCCTTTGAAGAAATCCACCTAACTTTGAACAAATATGGACATCAATTGATATTTTTCAGATATTTTTCACCGTAATTTTTCAAAATCTAATTGGCGTATGACAAACATCGCTTGTTGTATTGTTGATAGTTGTTGCTTCTCAGAATTAGTAATTCTGTTTTATGGTTTCACCCCATAAATATAAAAATTTTCAAAACATGTCACGGATAATGAAAGATGATTTCTCGGCCAACTCTGAATAAATAGTTCCTATCAACTTCCTGTCGACAACTTAATTTTGATTTTTGACGATATCTTAGAAACCCTTTGGGATACATAACTCAGCTTCTTAACACATATCTTATCATTTATCTTAGCTATTTTCTGAGTATTCAACATATTTACCATAGTAATGTGATCAGGAAATATTTCAACGAATAAATATTAACGATATCTATATTTTACAATGTAATTTTATGGAATTCCAATGTTTTTCTATATATTCAACTAATCAAGAATAGTATTGAAAGATATCTATACTGTGTGAATGAAATTTATCCGATATACAGGGTGTCTAAAAGAAGCGGCCAGTTGCTAGGATGGGTATAACACTGTAAAATGAGTTGTTTGCTCAGTATAAAATTTTAGAAACGGCTCACGATCATTTCGAATCTACTGGCAACATTGTAATGAAATTTCGTATGAATATCTATCGGAAGCTGACATATCTTATACATTCATTTTTATATCTGACTCTCCTAGAGGGCGCTAGCTACACCTTCATATATTTTATATTATTATAGTCCCCCTAAACCATACATTTGAAAACTAAATAAACGGTTTAGCAGTTATTATTTCTAATGATCAAGTATAGCCGGTTTGTTTGCTGGTGAGTGTATATTAACCAATCACTACTCTAGAATGCATAGAAATGTAAATTTCATATTTTGTCTCAAACATTATACAGTAAAAAAATCTTCAAAGGTGAATGTAAGAAAATGTATTCTTGGATTTGTTTTGTTTTTTTCATGATTCAACTATCTGACTTGATTTTTTATTCAACATGAGCGTCCACATTTGAAAAGAGATAACCTTTGCTATCATAATGATAGAAAGTGATTATCTACGTGTTTTGACATTTCATTACAAGATAAACTGAGTTCATTTTCGAATAAAATTACTTCGTTCTATTTTTGTAAATAATGATCCCTGATAGCTGAAACCTTCAGTTATGATTTGAATTTAATAACAGGTTAGGCCCGTATTTATAGTCGTTGCCTCAAGAACTCCTCAAGTCTTCCTTATCTGAGGATTCCGTGAGGACTCCTCAGTGATGTTAAACTTGTTTTATAGACCTCCCTATTGAAATAACAACTTATTCAACCTCTGTGTGATTTCTGTATCTAGCTTAGTTTTTGAGGAAACATTAAAAATTCGATTTGAATCCAAATTTTAATGTAGGTGTTTTCAAGAATTCCATTGAGATTACTCAACAACCCCAATTAAAATCATTTTGAAATTTTGGGGCTTTCTCAGTCTCCATCCATACTGAATTCTGGCACCATGAAAGTTTATACAGGGGGGTTGTGAATAAAAACAATCAATTAATACTTCCAACTTCAACATCCTGTATATCAAAAACGGAGCAAGATGAGAGACATGTTTATATGAACTCTATTTGCTAGAATGTCACAAGGAAACACCTCTTGAATTTTTTCGGTATTATTCAGGTGCACCCTGTATACCTATTCCTATTATTCGAAATAAAAAACCTATTTACTTTTCAACTAAACTTGAATCAGTCTATACTGGAAATCGATAAACTGGAATCAGATTCTCTGTACAAATTTCAAGACATGAATATTCATTTGATTACTACGTAAAATTTCAAAATTCCATTCATGAAATCCAGAAAAGCGTTCCATATCAAACACTATATCCAAACCCGTGAAATTCATATCCAATAATTGAGATGTTTCCAATAATATATTATCAAATTATCTACATCTTCTTAACATAATCTGGAATAATACAAGAAATTGCATCAAGGAATGCTCAAGGTACCTCTTTGCCTTCCTTATTGGAATTGACATTTCCTTGAGGCTTCCTTCGAGTTCATATTACGACTATAAATTGGAAACTGGTCCTTAAGGATGCCTTAAGGGACGAGATTACCTCAAGGAGCGACTATGAATACGGGCCTTAATTCATCAGGAGTGTCACATAGCCAAATGGGAGATAAAGGAAATCAAGACGAGTTGATGCATGTATAGGAAAAGTTTTTTGGCCATCTATTTATGTGAAATTGCCATAGAACGTTGATGGCCGATATTTCGGAAATGATTCATCCTAACTTGTTGGAATTTGATAGCGACGGTACTCCATTGAAACTATCCAAAATGGCATATTATGAAAAAAAATCCAGATCTCGACTTGGGAAAATTCATGTTTTATTGTTTTGTCGAAAAAGGTCACTTAGTGATCACTTTTCTCGGAATTTTTCATAAGATTCAGAAAAATCATAAAACATGTCATAAGAACTGCTCTTCATTTTCACGGCATACTTTGACGGGTTCAATGAAAAAATATGAAACAAAAATGTTCGAATGAATTTTCAATTCCGAGACCTGGCAGATAACTCTTATATTCCAACTGGATTCAACTGAATTGATTTTTTGTAAATGTTTGTTGGACATGACTTGACAAGATAGAGTAGTTGAAAAAAATTGCAGACTTTTTGGTAATTTGAAATGTTAATTTTTGATCAAAATTCTAGAAATATTATATTATTAGTAGGCACTGATTTTCATTGTATGATGTGACGTGACGTTTGTTGATAACCCAAACCGATAGGCATAGTACTAACTGGTAATCAAAATATTCTTATCCAATAATACGTAGCAGTGAAACATTTTGAGGGTGAACATTGAGATCATTGAAGAAAGATCAAATGTCACCTTATCACTTGTCATTTGTGGAAATGATTTTGAGCTTTCTGTATTTATTTAATAATATCTATCTAGAATATCGATCAAAAATGAAATTTTGAATTATCAAAAAATCTCTTTTCTATGAACTCCTATCCACAAGAATGTACAAAAATAATTTACATAAATCCAGTTGGGAGATAAGAGTTATCTGCCAGATCTCGAAGTTGAAAATTCATTTGAAAGTTTTATTTTTATATTTTTACATTGAACCGGTCAAAGGGCGCCATGCAAATTGAAGAGCAGTTCTTATGGCATTTCGTCTGATCTTTCTGAATCTGATAAAAATTTTCGACAGAAATGATCACGTGAACTTTTTGACATAACAATAAAACGTGAACTAGGAAAAAGTCCCGGAAAAAGCAAAATACTGAAAGTGGAATGAAATGTAAACAAAGAGGGAGAAACTCAAAGTCATTAGCACAATAGTTCATAAAATGAGCGAAAATGGTAGATAACGAGTTTCTCCCTCTTTGTTACCATTTCAATCCACTTTGAGTATTTGGCTTTTTCCTAGTTGAAAAAACACAATTCGGGCAATCAGCCACACCCATTTTATCTGAAATGGGAATTTGTTTTTTCTTTCCTTCTACTCAGGTGCGTTCGTGTCCATCTCGCAGATGCCGAACTCGTCGTGGGTATTAAGTGCTGGGATGTGTTTACGTTGAGTCAGGTTCGCACCAGATGGCGGTCATGAATGCCATCTGGAGCCACCCCTTCACTGATGGGAGCTCAAAGCTCGAAACCGGTAGGTGGTCAAGCGTTCCTGAACTATTCAAGCACAACTCAGCATTTAGGAAAAAATCAGTTGCAGCTGTAATCGTTGCATAGAATACGGAAGGATGTAATTCAATGTTCTGCGTGGCATATAGCCAGGAAAGCAGTTGATTTTCTCTCGTTATCTACCATTTTCGTTCATTTTATGAACTACTGTCCAGATTTTTTTTTTTTTCATAATATGCCATCTTGGATAGTTTCAATAGAGTGACGTCGCTGTCAAATGTCACAAAGTAGGATGAATCATTTCTGAAATATCGGTCATCAAAGTTCTATGGCAATTTCACATAATACCCCTGTATCTTCGTTATATATAGATGGTCAATAAAATCTTTACATATACATACATCAACTCGTCTTGATTTTCTCAATCTCCCATTTGACTATGTGACACTCCTCATGAATCACCCTGTATATCATGCTTGTCCCTGATGTGTACAAAGCATCAATAGTGAAACGAATTATTGTGATAAGGCGTTTGGGTTCCCATTAGTTATTTGGATTTCCAGACGGCTGCATTCTCTTTTTAATATCGAGTAAAAAATTATCGCTGAGGACGCGACAAGATAAACTTGAAGTCGTTGAAAATATTCGCGACGATGGATGATAAATTTTTTAATTTTTTTACTACAGAGTTCGCTACTTCCATTCCAAATCGGCGAGTTATCTTATTCGCTAATGTAAAATAAGCCCTATGAAGTTTGACACTGGAGACTTGGAGATAATCATAACCTAAGTTCTTTATATTTCTTGTGCATAGAATACACCACGGTTTCATAACATTTTCTAAAAATGGCCCCAGCTTCAGCTCCAAGGCTATTCATCGAAATTTTTTGAATTTCGACTTGACCTATTGGGAGTAAGAATGTTTGCTGGTAGCCTTTATGACAAATTTCATAAACTAATCAAGTATTGGTATCTTGAAAGCGTAATCTTTTCTGGTTTCTAAAATATATTTTTATACATCTTGTGGAATAACTCTGGGTGACTCGATATAATAAAACTTGGAATTAATTGAAGTTTTTGTCATGTAACCTACTGATTCAATCCAAGTTTGCTGTGGTGTCTGCTCAACTAGGATTGTTAAAAGAAATCCCATTAATTTCAACTTTCATTCCTTCAATTAACCTTATTGGAATGTATGGAAATTACATATTTCGGAAATCCATGAGATAAAAGCATTTTCACACATCGAATAAAGAAAAAATATATGCAGGGCACCATCCAAAAGAGGAGTGCATCTTATTCAAGAACTTGTTACAGATGACTTTAGGTTAGGGTGTACCTTTGAATGTGACAAATACAATATTATAGTACTTTTTTATATTATGTTTGGGGCCTTTTGCAATAACTATGGAGTTTTTGAACATGGATACTTTAAAAGAGATCATAATTTGGTGTCTGGTATTCGACGTTTTGTTTTTTGGGAAAAGTGCAACCATGCGCATTCAACTTGAACTTTAACTTGAAAACACGCCATTTCAACAAGATAAATTGATACTCATTATCAACCCCGAAATACGACAGTTTTCGAGATAACGAAATGTTTCAAATGAGCTGCATAATTCTATAGCTCTTATTCGATTCCTTATGAGAAAAATCAATGTAGTAGGCGTCAATTTACATGGCTTGAATATTTACATAGTAGGCGGATGTAAAGAATTATGTTGACAGATAAACATCTTCAATTCTATTAATAATTACTTCTGTGTTTTTTTTAATACAATGAAAAGATGTCAACCTCAATCTTAACGGCGTCTACTACTCTCATTTATATTCCTTATGGTAAATTGGATGAGAAATATGCAGCAGGTTTTTTTTTTCATCTCTTGGAGTGTACGAAAGGAAATTCCGATAGTTTTCGTAGGACATCGTGCATACCTAGGATTCCTGGAATGTCTTTGATATGTTTCAATAAAATTAAGAAAAACGAAGAAAATTATGCAATGTGGCTTATGTGACGCCCTCCAGAAAATACGAAAAAGTTGAAACTGAATTATGAGTTCTCAAGCACAAAAACCCCTAGTTTCAAAATCGTCAAGCAAAAATGTCCGCAAACTCCAGAGTTATTGCGAAAAATAACTTTTTAAATGCTGATTATTGATTTCGAAGTTTTCCTCGTGGTCGAGAGCTTGGCCGAGAGCTACCACACACCTCGTAACTACGCTACCAAAATACAGCAGAGTTCCGAGTCACGTCGGTGTATAGACCCGAGTCACACCAGTGTAAACCCGGGCAACAGAGAAGAAGACAGCAATGAGGTTATGTCTCGAATATTATGACAAGATGACAAATACCGAAACCTAAACAATTATTAGTTCTTATTGGACAAAATTTAAACTCTAACAAAAATAAATATACAATGATAGTAAGTATTAAAATATGATAATTCAGTATTATAATCATTCATACATTATATAGACCAAACAAAGATTATGTTTGCGTGCAGGAATATTGACACCGTGTTCGTTTCCACTTTCACATTGCTATGGTGATATGAGATACTTTCTTAGCAACAACACAGTGTGCTATGTGCTGCTTTCATAGCTGGTCGTCGAAATATATTTTTCCTACTAGCGTGCGGAAAATTCCACTTTTCCAAACTCATCTTAGTGTTGAAAAAGTCACTTTTCCACACTCGTGCGGAAAAGTATATTTGTCAAGATTCTGAGGAGTATACTGACATTTGAATATTTAATAATAATAAATGTTTCTTTATTAACTTTTGGGTTTTTGCCGCACGCTTGTAGAAAAATAGTGTACCTAACACGTGCAGGAAAGCATCAGTTTCCGCATTTGTTAGGTGAACTACTATTTCAGTTACAATTTCATATAAAAAACGTTTGTTATAATGAAGAATTGATCGAGTGTTAATTGCTTGAGTTCATGAAACCTATAATTTTCGTTGATATTACCTGGGAAAGCATCTCTTCCGAACGGTGGCGGATAATCAATTTCACCCCATTGCGGCCTACAAATGAAATCAGCAGTAGCGTCTAATTTGGCCGCCAAGTCCAATATGTAAATCTCCTTGTCGGTAACAACGAGAGGATTGATCTCCAAATATGTGAAATATAGATTTTCGTACAATTTGTACAAGTTGTGGATGAACTTGGCGATCATTTCCTTTTTTTCTGCTGCTACTTCTCCAAGTAATACCTGCAAACAATATTATGAATGATAATGGGCGAGTGGAATGATGATGAATTATTGGCATTCAGTTACTCCATTGTATCGTTGGGGACCTAAATCAATTTTTGAATTTCGTACCGTCATGGCCACCAGTCGGCGATAAGTCGAATAAATGATGACGCCAGTTTTTATGCTGTTTCGTTATTAGTCAAATAATCTTCCATTTCCACTCATGAAGCAAGGTTGTCAAGTCATAAATTATAATCAAGTTATCAGAAAGATGTTCAGTCCTGTCGATGAATACAACATAATAGGAGGAAGCCATGATATTATAGTTCTTCTAGACTTCTTCGAGCAACCAGCATGTCCAAATATTTATTATACTCCATAACAAAATATCATGTAAATGTTGAAGACTTGGAAACATTGTGCTGAATGCTGAGAACTGACAAGACCACGCCAACAATTCGTGCGCCGTGTTGTCACTTTCGCCAGTTCGAATGTCCTCTAGTGAAAATCAATATAATTATTATTTATAAGCAATAAGCCACAACACATGAAAGACAATTTTGAGACAATTGATTTTTCATTGCTAATCAAGAGTATCACCAATACTCAATAGAGAATTAATGAATTATCGAATAACTAATATTTCTGAAGTTCCCAATCGTATTTCAACATATGGCAACTGTGCTATGGTCTGCCCCTACTTACGAAATCGTGACGTCAGTTTTTACTCGCGGTACATTTCTCTTAGTTTGCAAAGTACCGTGGCATTATTGATGATTTTAGCACCTTGAAATCGACCGAAAAATTCTAAAAAAATATGAAATTTAAAGGTATTTGAGCGATGATTCTATTCAAGAAATAAAAAATATTGCCCACTCGCCTATTATTGTTCTGAATTATTGTATGTAGTAGTGGGTAGGTACCGAGTGATAATTTGAAAACAAGCAGCTCTCAATACTTCTTCTGCTGAAAACGATGTTGGAACGAGACCGAATGTAAACAATTTCGTCTCTGAATTTGACCATCTCAGTATCTTTTATGGTTTCCGAGATCCCCATGATAGACATCCTTATCTCGGACACGGTGTATTATACTCGATCCCTTCACCGTCAGGGCAAGTACCCCTAGAATTATAGCAACCCCCACTTATTTTGCTATTTGAAATCCGAATGTGATCCCAGATAAGTTGTGTTCTTGTGAAGCTCTTTCTATTATTGTTCCAATTTAGTTTTCATTACATGTTTTACAAACAAACAACTAATAACGGGTTGAATGCTATAATGAAGTAAGTTTATTAACAATCAGGTTATTATCTGAGCGATTTTTTTTTTAATGGTAGGAGTCCAATTATGAGGAATAATAAGTACATTTTACGTGTTCACATACATTGGAACATAGTTAATTGGTTATTATATCTCCCTTTTCGTGTACGGACACACTAGAAGACTCATTGTTATTCATTTTGAATATGTATTGTTCTCATATCAATTGGGGATATTATGTTTGGAGGGCACCCTTAAAAGATAACGATTTGAAGATTGCAATATCTCAATTAGGTCATGAGGTATGGAGTGTTTGTAGAATGCACTAAAAAATGTATAAGTGTAATGTATGTGTGTCCACTTGAATTAGAGAGTTTCATCAATTAGATAAGTAGACTAATCAATATGTTATATGTTACTTTATGGCTGACAATTTCCTGGTTTTATTATAGAATTTCAACTCTCTGCAATTAAATCAAATCTACATAGGATTGAAACATAAAATGCTAACATAGTTAGCGAAACACTTGTCAAGAAGTAATAAAATTGGTTTGGTTAATGGTAAAACAGTGTAGTAGGATCAAGAAATTCGAATTCGATTGAAGTAATTGAAATTCATAATAAACACCTTCAGATTGAAAACAAACATGAATACAAAGATTCAAATTGGATCGAAGTTGATCTATTAAGGAAATTAATGATCTGAAATCAATTAAACAAAATTGAAGATAAACATATTTGAATTGAAACAAATTGATTTCAGAAGTAAATCAAATAGTTACAAACTCAAAAGTTTACTGGCCTATATATTGCTTTCTGATATTGTCTGTATAGCGATATGATAAATGATTTCTAAATATAATTTTGACTTTGACTTTAACATTGAGCGAAAGCATCGTTTTATGCAACCATAACATTTATGAACTTTTGACACTAGGTGGCAATGAAAGATATAGCGTTCAAGGTTGGTAAAACTGATAATTATTTGTAGAGGAAGGTTGCCTAGATCAGATGATCAGAATAAGCGTAGAGCGAATGTGATGATTTGTGACGTTATCACATCCGAATTTCCGTGTTGGGGTCATAGAAGTCAATAAATGTAAGCATAATTCTAGATCCCAACTGGATAACAACCTCAAAAAATATTTGTCAATGTAATTTTCTATAGCTACGTATATATTCAATTCATACTCTCCTTCATTAGTTTTAGTATTATTATTGTTATCACTATTAGTACCTGATGTTTTTACTATTTTATTATTATATAATCATTTTAATAATAATTTGTATTGTTATTAATTAATATTATTTATTATGTATTATTATCATTATTGTCATTTATGTGAATGCTATTCGTTGTATATTAGGGTTTCCTATTTCAATAAAGATCTATCTATCTATCTATAGGTCTACTTGAATACAGTTGTAGAATGATTCCCATGACTCCGAATGGAATTTTCGATGGGAGTACGTCACGATTATGCAATTCCCATCACCGCGTTTTCTGATCGACGCAACGTTTCTCTGCGAGAAATCATGAATTATACCAACCTTGTGAGCGTCCTTCTTTAATAATGGTGAAATTTTGTTTTTATTGAAAGTATACAATGTTTAGAACAAATAGTTATTTAACCAACTAGCACTAGTATATTTAATGAGGGTAATAACTGATCCAGATATTTTATACGAAAGTTTTGCCAATTTGTGTTTTGATCCTTAAAAGTGGCACTTGAAATAGCTGGTCTCAGCACGATGTTCCACGAACATTATAGGAATTTCCTTTCGTGCGCTCCAAGAGATAAAAAAAATACTGACACCAGAATGCCAATTCCCATCAAGTATAACAGCGAAAAGCGTGGTGCTTATGCGACTTGTTTCATGATGTGCGCATGCTCAACTTTGCCTCATTTTCAAAAATTATTGATAAAACTATTATAAAACTATTTTAGTGGAGATTAGGCTATTATAATTCACGTGTTTTTTTTTCAAATTTGTTTTTCCAAATTAATAGTAGTCACCACAACCATACAACTAGACAAGCAGATAATTTTTCTGTCAAGAAAATTAAATCAGATATTGGTTAAAAATACATCTATCACAATGTTATAATACAATACAATTTACTATAGTTTTCCATTGGGTACCTAAAACTCCCAAAAGTGGAGTCAATTATGAATCATTTTCAGTTGAATTAAAAAAAAAAAGATTTCTTCTTGAGTGTGAGTCTTATTCTTTATTTTGTCAAATATATTTATAAAGGGTGTTTCAATAAAACCTGACCCGCTTACTGGGGTAGGTAGAACACTGCAAGATAGAGGGCGCTAGTTACACGGTTCGTACCGAGTAGTTTTGAACATAACTTTTTTGAGGTTAGATTTTCCAATCCAAATGCATTTGTTTTCATACCTGACTCTCATAGAGGGCGCTAGTTACACGGTTCGTACCGAGTACATAACTTTTTTGAGGTTAGATTTTCCAATCCAAATTGAACGTTTTGAAACTCGAATTAATGTTCCGTTTTCGGAATATTTAGAAATATCCAAACAAAATTTCATTACAATGTTGCCAGTAGTTTCAACATAATGGTGAAAAATGTGTAAAAAAATAATTTTTTCAACACCTTGTATCATGAAAACGGATGCAGTTACAACATGTTTTCACTGAGCAAACCAAACTTATTTTGCAGGGTTCTACATTTATTAGAATGATTGATCTTTGATCAATTCGCAATTTGAATCCGATGAAAAAGTTGATTGATTATTATCAGGTAAGTTCGGCAACCTTGACACTTATTCCTGATCACAACTAACATTGTTCATTGTCATTTGCGTTTTGCAGAGACGGTTTTAATTTTGAGTTTTCAATTACTTTTCATAATACTTTTTCGATAACGATTTTTCAGATTGACTACATCATTATTTTGCTGATTATCTTTCCAGAAGGCAATATTTTTGTTGGTTTTTGTACATGTGTGTTTGAAAGCTGATGGGTTCAGAAATGCGTGTGATCGCAACAGGCAGAAGTATTCTTTTTGTACAATCAATGAGTTCTTTAGTGTTGTGGTGGTAGAACAAGGGGAAGAGCACTGGAGTTAAATTATTTTTCTCAAGTTACTAGGTTTATGCTTATTGTGTTCAACAAGACACAACTCTTGCATGAACGCTCTGGGAAAAGATCCCAGGACAGAAGTACTCTGTTGCTTTTCTTGATAAAAATGCTATTCACAGTAAACATTTTCGTCAAGAAGATATAGGTATATTCTAAGGGAAATATGTATGTAAATTCAAATTCAGTCACACAACTGTACCTGAGAAGGATTGATTATATTCATCATGAAAGATTAATCACATATTAAAATTGGAATATGTATGGAAAATGTAATGGTTCAGCTAGTTGAAACAGACCAATTTTTGAAACATTGTTTATGTAAGTTTAAACTTTTTTTTTTTAATTCAGTGCAATGATTATCCCTAAGCCCGCACTGTTCAAAATAAACCTAATTTTGCAAATGCCCATCGACGATCGGACCATACCTTTCACCACACTTTTGATCAATTGCATTGGCATTCTAGTGCACCAACTCATATACTAATCTAGACCGCCAGTTCCATAAGGAAAAAGGTGAGCCACTCAAGAGGTCAAACTGGTGAAACTGAGTCATGCGCATTTAGGAACTGTCATGTTACACTCATGAATCCGAGGAACATAGGCGTATCCAAGGAAAAAGGTTGGGAGGGGTCTACTATGGAAGGTTCATATGGTTGGTATTCAGGTCTCATAGCTTCCAAATACTCAGATTTCAGAACTCAATTTTAAAAAACGGCAAATTTGCATGTGGTTTCAATGTTCAGAAAGCTGTCTGGCGTAAAATGGTACGAACATAGTTATCCTTCCTGAGTGGCCAAGGTCCAATAATGGTCCCCTAATAGCCTCAAACCATTCATTTCTCTTATTTTTAGGAATGCTAGGATCATTATTGAATGAGTAAACTTTCAATCCAAAATCATCTAAAATAGATGAGCAGGTATAGCACCTCACGCCTGAACTCAAATTCTTCACAGTTGAAAGAATATACAATGATTTGAATACTTGCTCAACTGATGAAAGCAAATTAAAATGATGAATTATTCATTACCCACAAACTCACCGATGAAAAGAAACATCTTTAGTATTATTATTAGTGAAATTCTTAAACCAAAGAACAAAGTACTTCATATTCCCCAGTATTGGCGAAAATAAAACGAAAAAATTAATATCACTACTCAATTTTGATATTATTTTTATCAAGCCGACCCTTGATGATATAAACAAAACAATTAGGCCTACGCCATCCGCCTTGTCCCGCCTATGAACAAAATGGATGCTAGGTTGATTTCAATACCACGTCAAAGTCATGAACGACAGCTTGGCGGTTCCTGCGTATTGAGCAGAAGCGTTTTCAGGCGAGAAACTGGACCTATATTGTCGGGTTGCTGTGATTGCGTTCCATATTCGCATATGTTAAGACATCGAAAGTAATGCTAATGCAACTATGTCAATTATTGTGAAAACATTGAAATTCTGAATAGGTATAATGACATCAGGAAATCGGGAATGCAAAGGTAGGCACAACACTGACTATACATACCTTAGTGATAGTAGCTTCATCTATAGTTTCTCCAACAGGAACGTCTAATTTGACAGCTTTGCTGTCTACGTCCCCAACATCCACACCTCCCTGATGATAGAACAAGATGGTATCGGCATGTCGGTGCGAATATATGCAAACGTAGGTTTCTTCAGCGTCTTTGTGTGGTACGAAAGGCTCGATTATGAAGTTGCGAAGCTTGCCTGTGGCTGTGCCCACTTTCTGGTCTTTGTTCATACGTTCTGCTATCCATTTTTGCACAAACTCTAGATCTTTGTTGACGGCAATCAGTCCTGTAACAAACCAATCGTTAATCATGCTAATGTAGTATGTCACAGGGCACTGTGTTGAGGCGATACCATCTTCAAAGATAGTTTTATCTGGCTATTATCTGAGGGAATGGTGTTATGTTGAACAAATGTAGGCGTATTGCTTTTTGAGGATATGTCAATTCAGAAATGTATTTTTGTAGAAATTATTAACTAAGAAAAATTGTATTTATACATTATGGAACTTCACTAGTATGTGTATCATCATATTATATCATCACGAGAATATATTCACTAGTGACCAGCTTCTCTAAGTTTTCGTCTCTCTGAAGTGATACATTTAGAAATTTAAGCAAACTAGGAAGAGATTATTGGACATAGCCCTCATAAAGTGTTCACTGCAGACACGTGTTTCCGGCTTTCGGTCCTCATCAGTATGTGTTTCCAGTGTCCTTTATATTCCTTCCATCATAATTTATTCATTTATATATATTTCACAACTGAAAGTGATGTAATGTCATGTAATTTTTCTACAACTACACTATACTCCCTTCTGGATAGTACAGATGAATATTGTGCTGAAACACAAATATCGAATAATAATAATAATAATAATAATAATGTTTATTCGTATTAGCATACAGCAGCCATCCGAAAATGGATATACACGTCAGTTATAAAAAAAGTATTTTAAAAAAGTATGCAGCATAGGCAAAGACATTTAAAATTATGATTTACACGTAAGATAATGAGAATTACAATTACAATTTAAGATTTACACCTAGGATAAAACGAAAAACATTTACACATACGGTGAATAGAATAAAATCGACATATCATGAGGTAAAAAGAAAAGACAATTTGAGTAAAAGAACACCAATTGACAATTTGGGGTATACACACTACCAATTTAATACACTATGCCGTTATAGCAAGCTAGATTCATAGTACTCATTCATGTCATAATAAGCGCCCTGAGTAAATATGCGCTTTATGGACGATTTGAACTTGGTAAAATTCATTTCTCTGATTTCTTGAGGTAAATGATTGTAGAGTTTTATTCCCAAATAGTCCGGGGATTTTTCAGTACGAGATAGATTGTGTCTAGTGATATCAAAATCATGAGCATTCCTGGTAGAATATCTATGATAATCAGAATGTTTTAAAAACCTTTGTGAGTTGTTTTTTACATAAAGGAGGGTTTTGAATATGAGAATAGATGGTAGGGTTAGGATATTATTATTTTTAAAGGCATGCCTGCATGTGTCACCATGTGGAATATTAAAGATAAGTCTCATTATTCTTTTCTGTTTGATACGTCTCCCGTCACTTTAACCTCACTGCATGAAAAGGTAGACATTACAATGGGCGAGTGACTGATAATGAATTATTATCATCCAATTATTCCGCTGTGAAGTTAGAAACCTAAATTAATTTTTGCAATACTTTTCACGCCTTTTTATGTAAATAATGAGTCTAAGCGTTGTTCGAAATTGTTGAATTTCAGAGCTCATTTCAAACGAACGTTAATGGCCTCCATCTGGCGATACGTCGAATAAATAGTGACGTCAGTTTTTATGCTGTTTCGTTATTGCTCATATAATCTTCCATTTCCACTCATGAAGCAAGATTGTCAAGTCACCTGTTATTATCATGTTATCAAAAGTATGAAGTATAAACCCATGATGTTGTAGTTCATTCTTGACTTTTTCGAGCAACCAGCATTGTGAATGTTGGAGACTTGGTAACATTGTGCTGAATGCTGAGAACTGACAAGACCACGCCTACAAGTCGTGCACCGTGGTTGCCACGTTCACACATTCAAATGTCCTCTAGTGTGAATTAATATAATAATTATTTACACAAATTTATTTCAAGCAACAAGCCACAAATCATAACGGAACATTTTGAGACAATCGAATTTTCATTGCTGATGAGGAGTATTACCAATACTCAACTGAGAACTTATGAATTATCGAATAACTAATATTTCTGAAATTCCTAATCGTCTTTCAACACATGGCAACTGTGCTATGGTCTGCCCCTACTTAAGAAATTGTAGCGTCAGTTTTTACTGGCGGTAAATTCCTAGCCGTTTTAAAGTCACCGTGGCATTATTGATGATTTTAGCACCTGAAAAGTGTATCAAGAACAAAAAATTAAGCTGATATCACGCTTGATCGCATCTCTAATTTGATAAATTACCATATCAGTTCGGATTATCAAAAAACCTCACGTCACATAATGAAAAACAGGGCCTACTAGATACTTAATTATCACTTCAATTGAAATACATAAAACAAAGCCATGAATAATAATATCTACCTATAGAATTTCGATGAATAAATAACATGTTTTTTTCCTTAACTACTCTTCTGTCAATTTCTATCCAACAAAAATTTACTAAAAATCGATTCACATGAATCCAGTTGAAAGTTAAGTTATCAGCCAGGTCCAAATTGAAAATTCATTCGAACGATTCCGTTTCATATTTTTTTATTGAACCAGTCAAAGTGTGCCGTGCAAATTGAAGTGCAGTTCTTATAGCATATTGCCCGATCTTTCTGAATCTGATGAAATTTTTCGAGAAAAGTGATCATAAAATGAACTTTTTTGACATAACAATAAAACATAAATATTTCTCAAGTCCGGATCCGGATTTTTCTACATAATATGCCATCTTGAATGATTTCAGTAGAGAAACGTCGCTGCCAAATTTCTACTACTGACATCAAGCGAGATTGACACATCGCCTAAGCAACAAAAAATGTCATCTATCAACATATCGAGTGCCATTCGACTAGTGGTTAATATAATGACAAAAACTACTTTGGTAGTAAACACACACTTGAGGCGAAAGGGAGTAAATAATTGTAGGTTTCATAGCTAGTGGTGGAAAATAGTTATTTATACACCAAGGTAGTAAAGAATATCAGTATTACCCAGGGACCAAGATTACATCCCGAGGCTTCAACCGAGGGGTTTAAGGTCCCGTGGTAATGATATTCTTTACTGTCAAGGGGTATATTAAATTTTTTTCACCACTAGCAATACATTTCAATCCTTTTATTTCTGTAAAACTGAAATATGTACCTCCTATCACTATGAAAGCACTTTTTTCAATTCTGTTTGAAATGTAGTAGCCATGACCATAACAGCATATGACGAATCGTTATTAATAAATACCTACTAGATTCGATTGCCATTCGTGTGAACCTCTTTCAGAACAGTGAATTAAGGTTAATTACAACAGAGGTGGCAATGTCTTTATTGACTAGTAGTTAATAAAATTACGAAAACTACCTTGGTAGTAAAAACACACTTTATGCCTCGAAAAGCAGTAAATAATGGTAGGTTTTATAGCTAGTGGTGGAAAAACTTATTTACATAATAATACATATCTAACGTTACTAGTACAAAGGAGGGATATACTCATGGAGCAATAAACGAATATTTATTGAAATATCAGATTTAAATCAAATAGGGTATTCAGAATACAAATAGATGTATATTGAAAAAAATCTCAAAGGTGTTTGCAAAGGGGTGGTTTGTCGAAGGGTTCTGAGTCTCATTCTCACAATATGCTATCGGGTACTGGGACACCGTGTACCTATACGAATATATAATATAAAATCGAAGTAATATTGATGACTGGTGCACATTGTAAATTTTGTATGACACTTTAATATTTCATTTAAAAATCTTTGGAGAAATTATAGGCTCAACAGAATAAGGAGACGTCTTAGGATTCCAAATATCTGTGAAAATTATGGTAATTGATGCATTGCAAAAACCTCGTAAGGAAATTAGCCTTGTAAATTCATAATTCAATAGCTCAAATACTACAGGAATGGTTATTTACATACCTATTATGAAAGTTATTTATTATTACTGGACGAGAAAGTTTCGTGAAATGTTTCGTAAAGCCGCATGAAACCAGTCAAGTAATTGAAGAAACAATCATAACTTTTCAATTTTAAAAACATCAGTCCAAAAAATTAGAGAAATGTTTGCGAATTAGCTCGAGTGAAACATCAATCAACTTTATTACTCTCTAGAAACTACATTTCAGAAAATCATGTATAAATTTTCCTCTTATGATGTGATGAAATGACTATGATGATGATAAGTTCAATAAAAATGAACAGAATTCACCAACTGATTAACCATAGAAGCACAGCTAAGTAGAGGAAATACTGTTAGTACAATATTTATTGCACTAATAAATTCTCAGTTGTTTCGTGTTGATGTATTTGCTAAAATTTAACGCTCTGGTAGAATTAACACATGACAACGAAAATAAATAATTAATAAAGATTATGCCAGTGACTACTATTCGACAATCGCTAATTTTAGTTACGTGATAAAATGTTTTTACACTGGTACCTCAAAGTAGTTGATTACTACGGACACCATCACCTACCAATCATAGAACATTCAAAATGGATATAAATGCTCAAAAAAATAGCATGTATCAGTTACTTGAACAGATGTTTTGTCAAGTGGAATCAGTATTTATTAACTCAACATATACTAATTTACGCTAAAAAATACGTATTTGTCTGTTGTTATCTTTCTTGAATGAAAAATGAATCCCAATGCAAATGCAGACTGCATTAATACTGTGAATATTCGTTTATTGTTTATTATCGAAGGCAAGCAAATACTATTTAATATAACATAATAAAATAAGTGAGTATTGTCTACTATGAAGATGACATAGAAATAAACATCCAGAATCAGGTGTATTCACGAACATGAAAATCAGTTGATTGTCATGGGGGCAGTAACGTACGTAATATCCCAGTTAAATGTGTCACCCCTCTTTATCCTCGTGATTCTCAATATATTTTGGTTAACACAAAATCTAATAATTTTTTACGAAATTTTTGAATCTGTGCTCACTTTTTCTTTACATCAACAAAATACAGGGTTCATATATAATCCATTCATTTGGTAACGGAAAGCACTGGATTCAGGAAAAAAATGCTAAAGAATTATTCTCGACGGATCTATATGGTTTTTGTCGTGCTTCACCACAAAAATCGCAATAAACCATGAGAATTCGGGACATATTTTGATTTTTTGCTTATAACTCCGAAACGACGTGATTTAGAGAAAAAATATATCATACAAAAATTAAAGCCTATAAAATTTACTGTGAAACAAGATCAGAATCGGCTTGATATCTTGGTTGATTCAGCCGCTAGAGCGCCATGAAAATTGACAATAGTTTCAAAGTTGTCCAAAATACTCGAATTTCAGATTTTAAATTAGTATAAATCGCCAGGCTAGTGTTTCCGCCTAGTGGTTCTCACCTTGGAGTATCCTGAACCTCCTTCCTCAACACGAAAATTAAAATTTGTCTAGTACTATTTTCTATCCTCTTGGAACAACCACGATTGTCACACAGTTAGCTGCTAAGAGTGATTCGTTTCAAAATTCATGATATTATTCCATTTTTCGTGAGCGAGTAAAAATGCCGAACGATAATAATTATTGTACACTTTGTGATAAGCCGCTGGACGATGAAAGCGAAATTGTGCGTGTGCAGAGAGGGTTGAACGCCATTGTCAAAGCTAGGAGGAAAGACGGTTAAAATGATATGTTTGAGAGATCAGACTCTCTCACAGTTCATTTTTCATGCAGGAAACAATACACCAAGGAAACGAATACTGTTGCTGCTGGAAAAAAGGCTAAATAGGGCAATCCTCCTGCGCAATTTCGATCAGCTAATAGTAGATTGTTTTATTAGGATCAAAAGTGACACTTTGTTTGACAGTCGAGTCGAACAAAGTCACTTTTGATCCGAATGAAACATGCTATTTTTTCTGCAACCGAAACAATTAGCTCAAATAAACATGTGAAGTAACCACCAATGCCGTGCCATATGTATGCAATGCAACAAATATTGACAAATAATCCATGTGGTGAGAATATTCTACCTGCATTAACAGCAGATTAGGTTTTCTAGGATGTTAGACATGTAGTTTCAATATAAATACAACCACAGAGTGACATATTTGTGTATGGACCAGGTGCTCTAATGGCAAATACCGCGCCAGTGCCAGCTATAGGAACAAGACGTGGAAAATGTTAGGTTACTGAGCATATCAACAATAATAATAAAAGCGATTATTTATTCCTCTCCATAATACAATGTTTTTCGCTTGATAATCAAATGAAGGTGAACAATATCGTTGTTCGAGACAAAAAACTATTGCTTGCCGTGATTATTCAAAAACAAGTTATCCATCCCTAGAATAACGAATGAAATACAGATCAAGCAAGTATTTGAATCTTGAAGGCTTCCCTGATCAAAACAAAAATACTTAACTGAGATGTTTATAATTCCAATACTAAACTATAATAAGGTGTATTTATATCTCCAGCATCGGTATGAAATGCCAAATCTGCTGAAATCGGAAACAAATCTGGTATGCGTGTCAACCCAAATAACCAACCGTCACAATGTTGTTTATTCTTGATGATGTCCAGTAGATCCTTTTTAGTTCCTAGGAGCCAAAGTTCAACTTTAGCTCCTAGGAACTAAAATTCAACTTTAGCTCCTAGGAACTAAATATGTTGCCTAGCAACATACCTATTTTTGTGTCAGTAATAGAAACGTCAATTTAAGAGCTAATTTTGGTATCAAAATGGACGACTTTTGTGTCGGTTGCAGAAAAACATATTTTCGCATTTTGAACTCATTGTTTCCTGTGTGGTCATGAAATTCCGAAAAACTATTCTGCGAAACTGCAGTACTTTAAATGATGATTATTCCCGAGCCGTTGAACATCGTTTAGGACCTATTGAAGATCTGGTTGCGGCTGGTGGTCAATACCATCGTTCTAGTATGCAAAATTTCCTGATTCGCACATTCACATACAAATCCGAAGTACCTGTCGGCCGGCCTTCATCCTCTATTCATGCCAGATTCTAACCAATATACAACTATCTCGAGACCAATGACGAGGAATGTCAGTTCACAGCCGAGGACTTAATGAGTAAAATAGGAGGCGACAATCTTCCTCATTGGAAGACAGTTGTTGCTCATCTAAATAGTAGGTATGGTGATGACATCTCCATTACACCAGAAAAAGCGTCGTCAGTAGCTGAAGAACGAGTTCGTTAAGTTAGGACAGCAGCGGCTATAATCGTTGATCACAAGTATATGATTTGTCAGAGTATCCTCCACCAGAAGATTTACTGAAACAGGAAAATGACCCAATACCTTCAACACTCAAAACATTCCTTGATACACTGGTACTGAATGAGAAACGAGGATATTCAACAAAATGGGAAAATGTATGCACAGCCATTGTTCATGCATTGATATCAGCCGTTTTAGGCCGAATTCATTCGTTTCATCGTTGTTGGTCGGCTTGTCAGCATCCTTGTACAAGAAATTTGGGTGACAAAAATTGATTGAGATCTTATCCTCCCTAGGATGATTGTCTTTTTATTTTCATCCGTACAACCATGAGTGTCTTTTACAAGCAGGCCTATATTATGGATTCAATTTCGACTTCAGACCCAATCAACGAGGGGCGCAGATTCCGTGGACAGACTGTAGGCTGAAATACGAATATTTTGAATAAGTTGAAAACTATAGTAAATCTAGCGCTCTAGCGGCTGAACCAGTAAAGTTAACGAGCTGATTTTCATATAACTTTTTTGTAAATTCCATTTGCTTTCATTTTCATTTGTGCTAATTTTTCTCTTCGGAGGTACGAGCGAAAAACTAAAACAACTCTCGATTGTTCATAATTTTCTGCCAATTTCATGGTGAAGCCGTATCCGAATCTAGTCAATAACTGAATTTTCAGTTTCAGCATCCCAAACAGCATATGGATCCGTTGAGAAGAATTCCTTAGCAATATTTTCTTGTCCAAACTACCAAATGATTGGACTAATAGTAATAATACTTCGTTTCCACAACGTTTAATATAATTATATCATAAATATAAAGGGGACATGTTTCGAATCTATAGAGTATCCATCATCAGCCGATTGAGAAATTATTCTACAAAGAACAAAGCAACAATAATAGGGTATCATTGGTAAAACATGGTAGTACTCAAGTGGAGCAGAAACATTTTTGGAATCGCATGAAGTTACAAAATTATTTTATGAAAATTAAATAAACTGGGAAAATACGTTTTTGTGTTATAACAGGTTTTCTAAACAGGGGCCCTATGCCCCGATAAGCCAGTGGAATCACCACATTAGGAAGCCGAAAGACATCCAAAAATTAAAAAACGTTTTCATCTTGATATCGGTGGATTAACCTGATAACATGTGACCAAATGTAACTTCAGCTGTCAACGGTGATGCAATACACGAAACAATTGGTCCCATGAAAATCATGACAAACTTGTGGATGGTGCCATTAGAATATAAAGATAGAAGGGACAACCTAAGGTTGACTATGAGAATTTTGAAAAGGAAAACTTATACTGGAGACTAAAGCACTGAGGAACAATAATACAAACATTAGAAACTCAAGGCATTGAAGAGTTTTTGGCAATTGAAATGGATTTGTTCATTGAGTGAAAGAATATTTTGTCCTTTAAAGATGAGTTGATCTCAAAAATTTTCAACAGATTCAGTAAGTTACCCTTCTGGCAAATGTGTAAAATTTCTAAATCAGTATTAATGTTAAATGAGTGTTTAGAGTTAAGCACATGGTTAGCGAACGTACTTTGGGTATTGAAATCTTCGTCAATAATAGTATTTCTAAATTTTTCTATACATTTTAACCCTTTATAGGATACTGGTCGACATTTCAACCAAGCCCAAAATAAAATCGTATTGAAGAGATACTGGTCTGATATTACGCCAGAAGATACCTATTGCTTAGTGCAAACGAACACTGGCTAGAAATGGAACCGGTTTCTGTATTTACGCGAGATATAAAAAATCCGGTTGAATTTTCAACCACCGTACGTCAAGCACATATGATGCGGAAGTAGGTGTATTGTGCACCTGCGAAAAAAATATCTGTTTTTTCTGTTAGTTGACATAATTGGTTCATGAAAATTGGGAGATAGAACCAACAATAGTCTGACATCATCATGAAATAATCATAATGTTGCTGAACTTTTGCGCTAGGATAATATTTAGTAGTAACACCAATATAACCTCAATTATTCAGTAAAACAGGTTGTGAATTCATTTTTGCCGGCTTTGCCGCAGTTTGTTGACAACGCTCGTGGAGCACGTACGTATTGTGACCTGCGTAAATAAGTAAACAGTATTTTTCGCTGCTTATATTGTTTTTTTTTAACCAGTGTTTTTTTGCTTTAATGTTCTGCCTAGTGAGATACTGGTCGATATATCGACCTGCTCGGGAAAAATAGAAATAATTTCATTTTAATTTTTTTCATGCCATTTTTACTTTCTCAATGAACCAATAAACCATTTTATGTGAAAAAAATCGATATGTTTCATTTCTCTTAATCTGCCCTATAAAGGGTTAAGTGTTCATTTACTCTCGTATGAATTCTTCTACCGGAGTATTATTGGAGTATTATTACTATATGAACTACTTCAGTCCACTTTGAGACAACATGGACTTCTACAGTAGATTAAAATACAGGGTGGCTCAGAAAAAAAATTCAAATGAAATGATCATATTTTTTTCCATAATTCGATGAAGCCCGTCGAAACGAATGTAATGAAACTACTAGAAATTGATTCGTTTATTACCGAGCAGCAGTAATAGCAGCCCAGTCAAATAATATTTTGGAATTTATAAAATCGGAGGAGGAAAGCTGTGAATCCTAAAATGTATAAAATACCCAGAAATCGTAAGAAAATATTCGAATCACATCAATACATCAACAAAACCTCTAATTATGCGCAAAATGTCTTCATATTTTTTATATCACAAACAATTATTCTCATCATAAATAAAAACAAAAACATACCCAGTTTTCCTCTCCTTTTGATGAGCTGATCTGGCTTAACAACGAGTTTCTCGGTTTTCAGCCAAGGATTATTAGCTACCAATTCTGCAAATTTCGTTTCAGAGTCTACAGAAGCAAATCTACATTGTGCAGCAGCTGTGGTTCCAGGAAGATGTTTGTTGATGATATTTTTGCCGGTGGCCTCTCTTATGGCCTTAGCAGACATGTTTTATATATCTACAACAACAAAAATAATCATTAATAATGTGTAGATAATGGTTATGTCAGGTACAAGTTTGGTTATGGTGAATAAAGTTGTTCTGGCAGTTTTGATCAATAGGGGATAACATTATATTATTGTCCACCAGATCACGCTACTGAGACGTGAAGATCAGGGTTGGTAGCAATGATAAATATACACGTATTTTCGTGTTATTTGGCCTCTTCCTACGATATCTTCTTCTCCATCAATGCAAGAATTATTGATCGTAAAGTTTCACATTGAAAGTGTAAAAACGCGAGTCTGCTCCACATAGGCCACATTATTTATTCCGAATATTTTCATATGTAATACCACAAGTAATACTATTTCCAGGAGAAATAGTATCACGAGTTGTATTCGTATGAGTATTCCATGATTGAGACAATAAACGAGCGGCTCGCGAGAGTTGCGCACACTGCATCCATCATTCTGGCTTTCAACATCATTGACGTTCTAAACGTCTACAATTTTATCGCTGAAAAACGAGGAAGGTTGGTCTCGTGTGGGACAAATCGGCTTCTGTATTGGTAGAGCAAGTGTGATGAAATTTAGCAAACAAAAATATATCGCTGTAATACAGAAGAAACAGTGAAAATGGCCGATTCTGATTGATTTTAGAGATCAAGAGTGGAATAGTCATTTATAATCTCCCCGGCTGCAGAATTATTACCGATAATTTTTTCAAGGTCACGAATGTTTTTGTTGATATAAAATGTTCTATCAACAAAGACATGAGTGAAACTGACAGAAAAATATAATTGTGCTGCTTGTGAGATTCGGTAAGAAAATTGCATAAATTGAAGTTGCTTTCAATATGATGAGAAGATGAACCCTACGACCTATTCTGCGTAGATGTCAAATCAAAATTGACACTTAAGTATAACTCGTTTTTATTACTGAAATGTAAGAACCATTCAATACAAAATTTGTAAATCTGAAATTCAATGTCTTTAGGTATAGTTTTAAATTCAAATGAAACTTTGAAAAATATATTTCCGATGAGTTTAGTTAAACATGACGTACTATATTTTTACAATATATATTGATTTTACTTGTTAGTATGTAAGGTTTATTACTGAAATTTCAGTAACATTAAAACATCTGATATTCATGTCTACGGAAGTGATATTCTTTCAATCTGAACTAACTGAAATATTTCACTAGAAATGAACTGAATCAGTTAATATGCGTTCTTTCGAATGACTTTGATTAGGTACCTATAATGCATGTTAACTGGTTCAGATCAGTTTAAGTGAAATGTATCAGTTAGTTCAGAACGAATAGATATCACTATAATTTCAAATGAAACTTAAAAAAACATATTTCCGATGAGTTCAGTTAAATATGACGCACTATATGTTTGCAATAGAAGTTGATTTTACTTGTTAGTAACTAAGGTTTAGTACTAAAATTTCAGGAACATCTGATATTACATGTCTACATAGTTTCAAATGAAACTGAATGACGTTTGCCAATAATTGATAAAAAGCACTTCATTTTGTACAGAAAAATTATCACTTATCAATTCCATTAAGTTAATAGGAACTAACAAAATTATCGTCATAATCTCCCGTTGCTATAAACTACGTAAACAAATAGAAGTCTTCCAATTGGTTGAAAATGAATTTATGAAATTTTAGATGAAACAGGCCACAGTCCTTAGGGTTGAACCTTAGGATTGACTCTGAGATTGACCTCTAGTAACGCTAACTGTTGAGAATGAAAATGTTTGCCCTTATTAGATCAGAGGACAAACCTAATTCTACAACTATTGCAGATTAAACCACAATGAGAGGAGTATTCAAATTTGTTTGACTCATACCTCATAGAGTTTGAATAAAATGAATCGCAATAAAACGTTAAGTTTTTTGCATGTGAGAGAATATAATTCAATAGTTTTCAGAGATGATATATGGAAGATAATCACATAATCACCTGGCAACCTTGAGTAACATACAAACAAATATAATTGAATGACAAAATTGGGAAATAATTCCAAAATGATAAGAGTATCTGAAAAATATAAAGATAATATGAGGCGATAAGTCGAAAATTTGATAATGCCAATGGACGTAGTCCCAAGAACTAATACCCTCCAAAAGTTCAGAATACATTCCAACACCTACCTCCTCTTCCTATCCTCCTTAGGTACGCACGATGTTCTACGAGGATTACCGACAATTGGACGTGGTTAATTGGACGCACGAAAATTGGACGCGGATAATTGGACGCGGCGACAATTGGACGCGGCGACAATTGGACGCGGCGACAATTGGACGCGGCGACAATTGGACGCGACGAAAATTGGACGCGGCGACAATTGAGCGCATGAGATAATAAAAATAATTTTATAATTCCAATGAAATTTATTGCATGGAATATGCAGGGCTCATATCTATAATATAACAAATACCTAACCTGACCTAACCTGTCAGGTATTTGTTATAATCATGGATATAAGCCCATCAGTATTTCATATTTTATACAATGAATTTCATTGGAATTATAAAATTATTTTTATTTACGCATGCGTCCAATTGTCGCCGCGTCTAATTGACGCCGCGTCTAATTGTCGCCGCGTCCAATTGTCGCCGCGTCCAATTGTCGCCGCGTCCAATTGACTGCGACCAATAGTCGTGCGTCCAATTTTCCACGTCCAATTGACGCGACACCGTTCTACGAACATTATAGGAATTTCCTTTCGTGCGCTCCAAGAGGTATAAAAAATAATAATTTAATTGGAAGAAATCCCTCAAATGTTTAATTATTGATACGATTGAGGATTCGTAACAGCCTGTACAATATGACCCCAAAATTCCCACCTTCCAGGATCTTTTTCTACATTACATGTATTTTTAGGTAGTGTTTTTCCATTACTAAGTCTAGACCTGAGAAATCTTTTTTTTCTTTACTGCTGGACAATAATAAATTTTTTTTTTTATTGGGACCCTACTATGCTTATTTAAAATCCAACTTTGTAGAACGCTCGTTTTTTAATAAAATTAAAGGCAACATCAATGGCCCGAGAAACGTAACGTCAAATAAAATATCACCAACAAATCTTCAACCATTTCACATTATTAGTTGTTATTCATATTTATCATCTCAAAGTGTACTAATAAAAAAACATTACTAGTGTACTTAAAAACGTATCAATATTTTGGGGCGATTCATATGGAGAGAATCCTAAAACCAAGTTCCCAAAAATCTCGTTCAAGTATCTTTCGTTCGAGAGATATTCACATGTTTTAGAAGAATTCGCCAATTCGTTATTCGCGAGATTCACGAAGTGGGCGACATCTAGGTTACATAATACGAACTTCAAACTGGGGGAAAACAAACTATTGTCTATGGATAAAGTACATAGACTACATTGCATACATCTTGCTGTAGCTGTCAAACTTGTCAATGGCATAAAGTGTTATCACTCTTATCAGTACACAGTACACAACATGTACACAAGCTAATGGCACTAATGGGATTGAGTGAGGATTGAGTTTGTTTTCCCCCAGTTTTGACGTGGCTTTGAAATTGAACGATGAAAACCGAGCGCCACCTGGTGACATTGATTCCCGCGAATAGTCAAAGAAACGTCCAGGTCAGGTTACTTTGAGTAACTTATGTTCAACTGTATCATTTTGAAAATGCTAAATACAAGATTCTCAAAAACCTTACGACTTAGCTGTGAAACTGGTTCATAATATACAGGCTGATTCACGCTGGATGGCACATTAGACGTTACTTGAGAACGCAACGTAGGATTATAATGAAAATTCGGTGCCTTGGATAATTAGTTGTATTCTATCGACCTTGAATATTCTCAACACTGCGACGTTGCCGCTTATATTGAAAAGTAGCAACATATTTGATTGTTTGAATGGGAGACCCTATACCGGGTGACACAGGTTATCGGGCCACCACTGTAACTTCTGCATTCGTCAACGGATTTTTCTGAAATTCGGTAGATTTATGTAAGCAACTATTTCGGATTCGATCACATTACAATCTAATATGGCGGACTTCCGGTTTTTCTGGAAATGCCAGCAATTTTGTTTTTTCAAATGGAACACCCTGTATATTTTTACATATTCAAGTTCAACAGGTCAAAACAAGTGCAATTGATGTCAAATGTCATTTATTCCACAGCCTACCTAGTTGAAAAATTATTCTAACTGCAAGAAAATTCATAAACTAGTTGTTGATTTTTGAATGTATACAATTTGTTACTGCACCGAAAAACAAAAATGATATGTCATTTTGTTCCTTAATGTATGTTCTAGAGAGACGGGTAGGTGGCCCATAGGGGTTCCATTTGAAAAAAAATAATTTCTGATCAAAAAGTGATGTGACTGAATTGATTCCTGGATAAGTGACACAAAAAATAATTTTTCAGAAAAAATTATGTTCTTCTGTTATGTGTGACTCATTGTGAATAGTCTCGACCACATCTCATTTATCCACGAGGTAAAATGGAAAAACAATTTTAATTTAAATTTTTTCGAAAAAATGACATTTGAACTTGTTTCGACCTGTTGAACTTGAATATGTAAAAATATAAAGGGTGTTTCATTTGAAAAAACAAAGTTGCTGGCATTTCCAGAAATACCGGAAGTCCGCCATATTGGATTGTAATGTGATCAAATCCGAAATAGTTGCTTATATAACTGTACCGAATTTCAGAAAAATCCGTTGACGAATGCAGAAGTTACAGGGGTGGCCCGATACCCTGTGTCACCCGGTATATTATTCCATTTTCAGATTCTTCCTAAAGAGCTAATTTCATCGATTCATCACACTTGGGGTCTAGCTGGAATGATTACAAAGATATAGGGTGTGAAAAATCGAGATTTTTTCAACTTCAAGAATTTCTTGTATCGAAACTATTCATAATAAGTCAAAACGGTTTTTATGTCCCTATCTCAACTTTTCATGTACTATCAATTGATATTTAATTGAAATAGATACAGGGTGGTTG